ATTATGCAAATTTCTGATGATTAACAAAATGCAACAGCATTCTCTCATATAAAAGAAACTTCATGTCTGCAATTGAAATTCCATTTAGGTTCCCATAACTGTTACTGTTGTGCAGACGACGCAAATGTTGACAGGAGTGGCAATTTCTTGGGCAGTTTATAGAATCAAGACTGAAAACTGGATGCCGTAAGTTTCCAGGCCAATACAAATGGTGCTCTCATGCTGTGTCTTTAGTTGTCAGCAATCAATGGGAAATCTCTACCTCGCCTTTACAATATATACCACTTTTGCTGCACTATTCATACGATTTTTCTATCGAGCATATATTGTGAAAGCACGTAAACAAAAAGGAGAGTAGAACATTGCGTTCATATTGCTACATGAGAAGCCTCTGAAGACTTACACATGGTCGAGAGCTGGTAAATGTTGCAAAAATCATGTGTCTCTTGGTTCCTACCGTTCATCAATGAAGAGGAGTTTCGAGCAATACACATAATAAATTCATATATTACATGGATGAGCAAACTCAAGTATACGTTCTAAACTTGAGAGCTGTGTTAATGAGAAATGTTTTTCTCAGCGTGGGCGTCAATACGCGCGACCGCTCAACAGAATTGCGTCTGCGAAACTCCCAATCAGGCGCTCAGTCGGTCGAATATCTGATTTTGCTGGCTAACACCGTCTCGAGCAAATTTCGTGTGCAAGGAATTTTAATCTGCAATGATGAAAAACGCGGAACTGTTCGATATCAGATTAGAAGCGACGGATCTATAACACGGAAAACTGACTGTAATTTCCGTGTTTGAGACAAATACTTCTTGCTGAGGAGATAAAAGGGGTTCTTGTTTGCTCACAAAATGATTGCTGCTGTTAGTTATCTTGCTGCAAAGATGCTGATTGTGTTAATAACACAAAAAGGAAGGAAACGGAGTTCACAACTGACGAAATCGCTACCACTTTCACAGTAACAAGATGCTCGTGCAAGTACGTATTTAGTCCGCGAGACCGAAATGTAAAAAATGGAGTAAGTTCAAAAGTTGGAGCTTTAAAGTTGGAGCTTAAGTTCAGGCAGGCTTGGGGTTGTACATTGCCACAGTGAGAACTTGGCGCACGCTCGGGACGCTGCCACTGCTTGCAAATGGTACAGCTATGTGAGCTGTTCGTATGTATGGCTATCTATTTAGTGTGTGCAATTACAAATACGTTTTTCTAAAGAAAAGTCACTGGGGCCACAAAAAGGCAATTGATTTTACCTCAGCCACTGATTCATTACTTCCCCGAAAATGCTCATAACTTTACAGAAAAGCCGAAGATGGGAAAAGCAGGTTTGGAATTAGCTCTTTGAGCCCTCTAATGGTGTGGCTTGTAGTATTTTGCTAGAGCATATTGCAGTGTCTGACTTCGAACCTACCATAGACACTATAAAGATGACTGTAGAGTATTCAAACCATCGCCGATCACATTTACTGATGAGCATTTGCACAGCGATTTGGAAGCAAACTCCAATTAGAGCCTGTAGCAGCCTTCTCTCACCTTACTTTGCATTAGAGCAATATCGTCGAATGTCTTGCGCGTCGAATATTTGCTTTCACTTCCATGAGAAAACTAATGTTTCTCATATAAGGTGAATGCTAGACAGCGTTAGATAAACAACTCGATAGAAATTATCAAATTGAAAAAATCATCAAAAATTCTACAGGAAGCTGTATTTCACGTACAAAACGAATTGAAAATTGCCTGTATACGTAAATGGAACGCAAAAGCACATTACAATTATGCTGATTAAGCAGAGCGTTTCACAAGTATAGGACGCTGTCTAAAAGTGAGATTTGGTTGTATAGGAAAGACTACCTGGCATTCGTCAACGAGCTCCACATCGAGTAAACACATTAGTCCTAGGACTCTCTTTCAGCTTTTCGTCTGCGTATATCTCTTTTCATTCGTGT